TATTAAATGATTTAAGACATTCTTTAGTAAATTGTACTGACCTTAAAGATCAACCTCAGACTCAGATTTCTTTTTGGAAAACCAGCCCAGTTTGGTTCAAAATCCTAACTTGTCTAGTGCATAAAAAATAAAAATAAAAAAAATAAAATCAGCTCCTGTCTATAATGAGGCATGATGTAAAATGATCACACACACTCAATCAATCACATCCCATAAAAACACAAAGGACCCAGTAATCACAGCCACCCGGGTCAAAGTGAAACTGAATCATCTGTTTCCAACTTTGCTCAAAACAGTTCAAAGTGTACTATTGACATAGTAAAACCTTACAGCTCATGATCATCAGGGTTTTAATGTCAAAGTTTTTCATTTACAACCAAAAATAGAGATTTTTTTTTCATTTGACAGCTACCTTTCTTTGGAGAATTGCAAATGTCATGGACCAAACATCTAAAACATGTAAAACCAGCCAAGCTGTATACAGTGATAATGACAACGATGTACTGACGTGCAAGAATGTTAAATTATTTGCTGGATGCTTGAAACACCCAAAGAAATCAGTAAATTTAAGGTCACACATCAGTTAGACTAATTGCAAGAATGTAAAGAATTAAAAAAAAAAAAACAACAACCGAAAAAAACCAATCAACTGACTTTGAAAACATAAAATTTATATTAAACTTTGCATGAGAAATTGTTTTCTTCCCAATAATTTGACTGCAAATTGTGTCCCAAAATTCCTTGAGAAGATTTGGTAAACCATAATAAATTTGAAAACTAAAAGTAATAACAAAGGCAGGAAATGAAACTAAAGTAGATTTGTGAAAATGGTTGGCAGTTAAATTTGCACAATGGGTTCAAAGTCGACAACAGCAAAAACTAATAGATGCTGAAACGCATCAACACAAGTGAAACATCAAGTTTGGCTTCTTGTTGACGCGGGTGGCTGCAACAGTAGCAACAAAAAGGCTCTTCTTGGTTTGGTATGAAGTATAAAAAGGAAACAATTAAGACTACTGGGTTCATAGCAGGCATAGAAGGTCAAAGACCGAGCCGCTGACTGAGAGTTTGGCTGCCGCTGAAGGTCTTCATGAGTGTTCAATGTGAGAAGATATGTACGGCTAGCTTGTTAGCAACATTCTAAATACATCGTCGGTGCTACTGAATATAATACTGTCAGTGTTACCGTCAGCAGTTACTGAGTACATGACCGTACCATTGTGATTTATAATACTGCAGGGCTGTAACAAAATGTCCAAACATTAAAACATATGACAGTAACTGGTGCTAATTTGGTGCTAATGATATAATGCCATTCAGAACACAATTAAATTGTTTTAATTCTGGGGCTTATTTTATTGTTTCACCTAAAAGAAAATGACCCCAACAATGTATCTGTCTGCAGCTATTGTTCTGCTGTACATCACAGGCCATTTAATTGTTTAAAGAAAACAGTCACGTATTCAAGGCTCTGCAAAAGTCCCTTTTCTAGACATTGAGGTGTTTAAGATTTTGAAACGTGAGTGTACCAGCAAGGTAAAGTGTGTTTTTTTTTACTGTTTTTTTGTGCAGCATGCATTGGTTATTATCACACCAATCATTGGGCCGGGTCTTCTTAAACTGTTGCATATGACATTTTCTTTTTTCAACTTCTTCATGTTGCTGGAATTTGTTGTAGGTATTAGTTTATGCATATTTATGATTGTATTATTTATTAAAAGCTTGTTCAGTGGTTCCTGTAATTGCCTAGGTACAGTCAGGTAGCTGTAACTTTTTAATGTGTGAGATAAATAATTTTCTGCCCTTCAAAACAGTTTGTGAGCTCGAAGTTATTTCATTAGTCCCACTCATGAACACTTCAAATGCCCCTGCCAAACTCTCAATGAGCAGCTCCAGCCTAAGGTCAAGGCCATGGAAAGGTTATGCTAAGCTCAAAGGTCACGGTAAGGTCATAACACTGCATTAGGTCAATGCATTTACCCAGATGACGATTGACACTTGGTTTCAAGTTTTAAAGAAAGATGCAAGCAGACTCAGAACTTACAAACCTCATACATTCCAGTTTTTCCACAGGACTTCAAACATTATGTCGTGGAAATCAACTACCCACGCACACAAACACACTTTTTTGTCGTTGTCGTTTTTAAAAACAGGCATTCCTTCATTCTCACTGATGTATGATCAGTAATATCACAGACAGCATGATGGGTGTGTGGATGGAGCAATATGATTGGTGACACCTCACAGACGCATAACCACATGATGAAAGAGCTCTGTCAGTGTCCAGTCCTTCGTTGCTACCAAATCTATCAAGAACTTGACTTTAAGGTAAGAACTCTTACTTCACACCCTTCAGAAACTCCACTATTCTTTAAATTTAATAAGTATCTATTGAGAATGACAAAATGTTCCAATATCAATGTGGAAAATCATTTGTTTCATCCAAGAAACGCAGTCTCTTTGGGCAGCACAAGGTTTTTTCAGGGTGCTGACACCACATGTCTACAATGAGACTTTTTTTCTTTTTCATCGTCGTAGTATTTGTTCAGGCTGCTACTGTTTCCCTACTTCACAACTGACTCACACAGACAAACAGACAACAACAGACAGAGTGATATTTACATTATTTACAACAGATTTTATCCTCCGTAAACTGCTGTGAACCGAGGAGAGGCAGTAAGCTCGGGGACTAGACTCAAAGGTGACCTTTATCTCAGTCATACTGCAGGTAGAAACTTTAAAAGGTTGTTGAAATTGTTTTTGAAAATGTGACATTTTGAAGTCCCTCAGTTCATTTCAGATACAGTGCGAAGCCTGGGGGAATAGGTAAAGGGCAGAAGGCGAGTGAGACGACAGGACGTGTCCTTCAGAGGAACAAAAGGAGTCTTTGTACATAAGGCTCATTGTTTTTTGGCTTTCAGTGTTCAGAAAGTGGCTTGAAAAAACCTTCACTGAAAAATTCCAACTGGAAACTATGCTTTTAATTTAACTATTTATCAAAACCTTTAACTGCTTAATTTTACTTAATTTGTTTAATGACATATTTTAAATATTTGCTAACAATTTGAAGTGCTGTAGTTTAATATTTATTTAAACCTAGCGTCCTATTTTAACAGTATATTTACTTTCTGTGCAGTACACAGTTATGTGAAAAAGAAACTAAGTGCACCGCATGATTTTTATCTTTTACAATCAATTTTAATCTTTCTCTGTATAACTTTATCACAGCTAAAGTTATCAGTCTCTCACACTGTCGTGCAGGAATTTTGGCTCACTCTTCTTTACAGCCGGAATCAAATGATTAGTTCATTACCAGGCCTCTGGAGAACTTTAAGATGTGTCAAGGAGGTGATTTAGCTATTAAAATCAGCTGTGTTGGATCAATGACACATCTAAAACCTGCAGGACACCGGCCCTTGAGGCCTGGAGTTGGACATCCCTGTCTTAGATCATCGAGGTTTATGTTTATGCACAGCTCTGTTAATGTCCTGTTAGAGGACCTCAATCAGGTAGAGGTCAGGAGTCATTGCAAGCCCTTGATTCTTTTGATTTTCCTGTTACATGACCCAATTTCAGCCAAGCGTTTGTTGTAAAAAAGATGGCCTCAAATTTTACTCTAGAATACTTTGATTACAGAGGAGTTCATGGTCAACTCAATGCACGCAAACCATACTTGTTCAGGCTTTTCTGGTTATACTATAAACCCCAATGTTTGTGTGTAAATTTTCATTTGTTTAATCTACACACAAACTTGGTGTACATGCATTAACGTAAGATTCCATACAGAATACACTCGCAAAATGTGAACTTTGGACAGAGAATCTTTTCTTTTTTTACAGTCTTTTTCCAGCTGATGAAGTATCCTATGTTTAGATTTGCCAGTATCTCGCAGTAGGAAAAGTCAATTTCCCAAAATCCAGACAAATTCTGAGTGCTTCAAAACCAAAGCAAACACAACGAGCCTTCATGTGTGGCTATCATAAATATCAAACTTCTAGGGACTTTAACTTGTAAGAGAAAGCAATTAACCAGCAGTGTAAACAGGCACAGTACTCAATCACCTCCCCAGTTTGCAGGTGCAAGTAGAAGAAATGAGAGACGTCCTTCGGACCAGCAGAAGGAGGGCTGGAGGGCAAAGGCAGAAGAAATGCGACGTTTCCCGGAATAAATGGAAGACATCCTGGTTGCCTAGCAGCAGGGACTACAGAAACGATAACCTCTAAACCAGAGGGAGCATTTGAAAATGAGTCAGGTGTTCATATCTTAATGAAAGTGGTTGACGCCTTTTTACAGCCGTCCAATCAGTTTTTCCAGTGTCATTCAGATAAGAGGTAAGAGCCATTTACAAGAAATGGTAATACAGTCCAATCAGACTCTGGATCATAAAACAAGATGAGTTGAATAGCACCTTCATGGTGTCCCGACATCGATATAGTGTGCGTCCTTCAAGTAGCCGGGCATTGTGTCTCACAACAAAATGGGCATTTAATAGCATTCTAATAGAGCTCATCAGCAGCAGAGACGTGTCTTGTAAAAGTCTTCAGTAGTTTTAATGGCACAGACCAAAGGTGGGATGGTGTTCACAGGATAGACAAATAGTAGAGAAACTGGTTTGTGCAACAAACTCCCATTGTTGCAGACTTGTGCAGCTTCCAGTAGAAATAAAGAAGAAAAAACATACAAAAAACCCCCCAAACAGTACATCCATCCAACCAAGGGAAGCAAAATGACTCCAGAGTAAAAGTAAGGGAACACGACTGCTTCCAGCAAATCAAAATAGTGAACAACTGTTCTAGACACTAAACTAAGTTTGGGGACACTTACTTGGTTGGTTTGAGATGACACAGGTTGTATTCTAAATCATGTAAGAAGGGAAGTGTTGGGTTTTCACTTGATCTAAGGAAACTTATTATTTCCACTAACTTACATATTTGGTTTTCCAGATGGTATAGGATGGGCCACACATTTGCTTGTTTTCCTGTCCTCCTCCTCCTTTCCTTTCTTCAGTCAATTTATAGAAAACAATCTGCATTCTTGACTGGACTTTTTGGATTCCACTTGGTGAATAAAGAATGTCTCCATGACCCGATAGGGGATATGTTCTAGACCTGAGAGAACCTGTTTGTTGGTGATATGTTTGGGGTAGATTAGAAAGAATGTATTTTGATGACGAAGATTAAACTGAACATACTTTAAATCACATTCAATTGACTTTTTTCGGTTCTTGGCCAGGGGAGCCAGAGAGACCATATTTAAGGAACTTGTTGGGTTTCCAGACTAATGTTTGCTTTCTAATTAGCAAAGTAAAGTTTGTAAAGTAAAGCAAAGTAAAGATTCAATCACATTTCTGATTAAAGAATGTATAGTATCGTGTTCGATTCAAGCAGATGACGGGTGACTGACAGGACTTGCTGACTTGCACAGGGAGAAATTGGATTAATTCCACATCACAAGAGAGGGAAATTGTTTTATACCTCACAACCAAAATGGGAATATTTGTGGAAGAAAACTGAACCAAATCATTTTGTTTCACAAAGCATGATGGGACTGGTTTCATGTCAAGTAGATTGAACTAGATTGGTTTTAAATGGTGGGACCTCTTTTCGGTCTTTAGAAGAATGAACATGTCCAAGAGAAAGAGGTGTAGAAACTTCTTCAAGTCCGATATGTTCTGTTCAGTTTCCTGAAGATGAAATTAAATAAAAGCCAAGAGGAAGTGATTGGTTTGGTTTTAAATGGAAACGAGAGAAAGCTAGAATTCAAAGCAGAGTTGTTGGCTTCTAGAAGTTAAAACTCATTTAACTAAGGTGACATGATGTCATGTAACAGGTTCTAGACCAGATTAAAGGGAACCGATCTGGTCTGGGAATTAATGAGACGTTCAGATATAAAGAAACTTTCTGGGTTTCCAGTGGACCAAACAAAGACTGTTCTGTTCTTCCATTCAATAAGGGGGATGTGTTTTAGACCAGAGGTGAGGGAACTTGCTTGGTTTCAAGTATTGGGGATTCTTCTGGTTCCTCTGGTTCCTCTGTTTCCAATGTGTCTCCACTGTTCTGCTCTTCAGCGCTGCTCACAGTGTTGGATTCTATAGGAGCCTCATCCTAGACAAACACACCATATTTTACTATGAAAATGAAAATAAGCATTGAGTATCGATGACCACCAAGTTAATAATTACTGTATTATTGCAGTATTGATGAGATTACATGTCTGAGTGCCCTTACCGTCACCCAGGGGTGCGACAGGACCTCCTCGGCAGTGAAACGGGCATCCACATTCACTTGCAGCATCTGACTTATCAGCATCTGAGGACCAGATCATGCAACAGTTACCAGTCTGCAGTACACCGTACCAATGTGCTGCTTACTAGGTCACACTGCTGTATTTCATGCTATGTGCCTTTGCTTTATATGGTTTCTCTTTTCACTTTGTCCTGCTGAATAGCCTCTAATTTTGAGATGGTTAAAATTCAGTTTTGTGCTTCCTAAACCCACTAAATAAGAGATCAAACCACTGAAACTTCATAAGAACTGGAAAAACATTAACTCAAAAACCATCTTAGCAAAATGCAGGGCTTTAGTCAATGGTGAAGCCACAAGATAATCATGTTTGTTCTTGAGCTGATGTCGGATACCAAACAATGTATTTACTGTTTGCAAACTTCATGAATGGTACCTTTGCTGGAAGACTGATGGTGTCCCAGTCTGGAGACGGAAACTCCAGCTTCCCTCTGAGGATCTGATCAAACAGCTCCTCCTGAATATTATTCTCACTGAGGAAGAGCAAGAATCAGGAAAAGCTGTTTATTAACGTAACCAAAATGATGGTAGGTCACATGATACCAAAGCAATACAAAAGACAAGACTGCGTTAATACAACAAATGAAACAATTAACACATGCACGACTGGATAAACAACAACTTTATGCTAACTCACCTTCTGAAAGGAGGAAATCCACACAGCAGGATGTAGGTGATCACGCCTGCCGCCCAGATGTCCACCTTTAGACCATAACTGCACACATACACAAACAAAACAGTGTAATATAAGAGACGGTCAACTATAAATAAACGTTTATAAGAAAAGGTAAGACGTTTTTTTCTTTACAAGCAAAAAATAAAAGAAATATATATTGATACATTTCTGACTTAAGTTATACTACATGTTGTAAACAATATTTTTTTTTATAGCAACAGGATACAAAGCAATTATTCTGGAGGTCAATTTTTTTCAAAGACTTATTACATTAACTGTCACTAAATTTAAATATTTATATTTATTTAACATTCATATATATTTTAATAAAGTGAAATTTTGGTCTTTTCATTTGAATAATTCTTTTAAATTGAAGTTTTTTCATTCATTTAATTCATTCATTATCCATTTAAAATTAAAGCTTTAGAATCAGACAACAATGCATCATATGTAATGTACATATATATAAAACCACCAAATATATTACATTTATTCAGACCACCACCAAATGTAAGGTATATGTCACAGCTGCCCTAAATTCACAGTATTTGTAATTAATTTTTACATTTCTATAATGGTTACTCCACCAGTATGTTCAAACTCTTTAATCAAAGTGATTAATTGCTAAAAATAATGTTGTCACCCTGTGTATTTTCAAATTTACTGTTTTATAAAACAGTTGGAAAAAAAGTAATGCACAACTTTTGAATGAAGATGACAAATTAATGGGTTTTAGAGCTATTTATTTTAGTTTATTTTATTCTGCTAAGCAAAAAACATATTGCATTGTATCAAGAGCCAGCCTTTGACCAAGTCTGTACTGACAATTTTAAATTGGTTATTTATTATTTGGATCTGCTATTTTACATTTTTTATGAATGCAGCTGTAGAAATGAGACAGAAAACAGGTCTTTAAATGTGCTCTTCATGTGCACAGCTTAATTTGCAGTATTTTTCTGCAGACCTAACAATCTAATATTCCTGCTTTCAACCATCTGTCCCAATCGACTTCAGAAAAGGAGATTAGCATAAATTTGGGGTTTTGTGACCTCCCTTACCCGGTCTCAGCGATGATCTCCGGGGCGACGTATGTCGGCGTGCCACAAACAGTGTACAGTGGTCCTTCCACCACTGTCGCCAAACCAAAATCCCCCAGCTTCAATGACTTAGTGCCATCTGGATATTCACAAACCTGCGGGATACAAATACATGAAATCTTCCCAAGGTGTACACAAAGACTGCAATCAGAGGAGGTAAACAGCTCCACAGGCTTATTTTACGAACCTGATAATCATGTTTCCAAATAAATCAGGAAGTCAACAGAAGTAATAATTACTCAGCATAATATATAAGTATAAGATACCTTTATTAGTCCCACGAGTAGGAAAATCATCAACCTATAGTTAAAACAATACAGCTTTTTTAAAAGAATGACCTAAAAGAAGTATTGTAAATAAATTACTTACAAGGTATACACTATATATTACCTTCAATTTATGTTCAAAGTATTCAAAAAAGTAAAAAATTACTCATTAAAACGTGTCATGAACTTACACTGTTCTTAAGTTAAAGTTTGCCTTACTTACGTTAGGTAATCATTTTTAATGGTAAATGGCCTGTATTTGTATAGCGCTTTACTAGTCCCTAAGGACCCCAAAGCGCTTTACACATCCAGTCATCCACCCATTCACACACACATTCACACACTGGTGATGGCAAGCTACATTGTAGCCACAGCCGCCCTGGGGCGCACTGACAGAGGCTGCCGGACACTGGCGCCACGGGGCCCTCTGACCACCACCAGTAAGCAACGGGTGAAGTGTCTTGCCCAAGGACACAATGACTGAGACTGTCCAAGCCGGGGCTCGAACCGGCAACCTTCCGATTACAAGGTGAACTCCCAACTCTTGAGCCACGATCGCCCCAAAAACACATTAAAATTGTAAATGTAAAATAAACAATGAAGAGGTGCATAGTTTGTAGACTACAGTTTATATGATTTAAAATTCAAGAAACTGTTAAAATAAAAGCTTCACAATTGTTTTTTCATCTTTTCTGAATTTAAAAAACGTAACTGCAAAATAAAATTCAAGTATTGTGAACACAATGTGTGCATGTTCGTACCAGCAGGTTCTCTGGTTTGATGTCTCGGTGTACGATGTTCATTCGGTGCAGGTACTTGATGGCTCCGGCCAGGTTGAACACCATGGCGCTGGCGTCTCGCTCGCTGTACTTTGTAGAGGAAGTGATGGCGTCGAACAGATCTCCACCCTGAACAAACAAAGGCATGAAAATAATACATTTGTTGTGTTTCATAAAAAGAATAAGAGCACTGGAGTGTTAGCAACTTTTGTGGTGATTGAAAAGTTCTTCGGTTTCTTTATTTTTCTACATGAAAAACAGAGGCAGCAACAGAAGCTGAAACCTGAAAAACATTCAGTTCATAGTTTTTGCTTCAATAAGCAGCTGAAAGTTCCCAATGTAATAACACTTTCTGGAGAAAACAGGAAGAAGAGGCGAAACCTTGACGAGCTCCATGACCAGGAACAGCTGAGTGGGCGTTTCGTCCACCTCGATTAACTGGATGATGCTCGGATGTCGAACCCTCCTCAGGACCGCCACTTCATTTTCTATCAGGTGCTCCTGTTTACACACACAGAGGTTTGGTGTCTTCATCATTTCAGAGGACTTTACATAAACTCAGGATTAGTCAGAGATCAGTGAGTCTTACCTTCCCACAGCAACGAGCTTTGTCTATGATCTTCAGAGCATACTCCTGTCCTGTTGACCTGTCAGTCAAACAAAGATAAAATATTACAGATTCACACACCTCCTGAATCCCAGTGTTGAGCTACTGCACTCAGAGGGCCACACTGAGCCTGAGAATAATACACAAAATCTGTCTGTGTTTGTTTCTTTGACCACAAACTTCTCCAAGACCATCAGAAGTTCAGCAGCCAACCTTGGCACACAGGTATATCTTCGGTCCCTTGAGGTTCTTATGTATATCACATCATGTTGCCTAGCAAACATTTAGCATTTCTGGACCTATAACACCTTATACCTTATAAAAGCATTGCAACGTTTTAATAATAACATCTAATTTATATCTACAAAACTTGAATTATGCATGATATGTCGTAACAGCATCATGTTACCTGGCAACTATCTAGCAAAGGGCTAACATGAAGCATTTTTTGCATATAAACTTCCCCTACCCCTTCTAGTTTTTGACTTTTCTCAGTGTGATTAAGTATATCAGTTTACAAAAAGCAGGTGCATTCACTGAGTTATGTGATGGTTATTTACCTCTCCACGCACTCCTTCACCACAGCAAAGTTTCCGTCTCCGATCACCTTTCCAACCTTGTACTTCTCGTTGATGGTTGAGGAAGAAACTGTTCGATTGCCGTTCACTGTGAAAAGAAGACTTTTCAAATGTCACTGACTTCCTAAAGTCTGAACACACAACCTCTGAGTTAACCTGAAAGTTTCAGAGTTTGACAACTTCCTTCAAAGCATCACCTCAGAAAATCTGCTTTCAAACCCACAGAGTCACAGATGTGCTGTCATCCTTACCCCCTCCTAAGCCACTGAGCCTTTTCTCTGGGTTTTTATTTGGTCTTTTGACTTTCAAGCACTTGTGCGACCCTCAGAGTGCAAGCCAGGGAGCATGCACTGATGCCAGAGGCTCAATGCTTTCAGCCTGGCACTGGGCACACAGTGAGGTTCTCAGCCACCATGTGTACTTTTATCAAGAAGCTGTTTTTAAATAATTCACTTTGATATTCAGCCTATAGCCTCTCAGGTCTTTCAAACAGCCATCAAACTCACTCAACTTCTGTGTCATGTAGGAGCTTTTTTTTGTAAAGTTGGATCTGTTACCAAGAAGTTCACATTTCACGGTCACTGACTTCAGATATTACACTCACAAACTGCAGACTTGATTAAAAGATAAACACACCTTCACCTTCACCTTCAGCAGTGTCATCTGGCTGTTCAGCCTCTCCGTTTACATCAGTGGAGGAAGCACGACGAGGTGAGATCTGAAGACAAATGTAAGGATGAACCATTAGACATTTTCATTGCAAACAACAATTACAAATAGAAACAATCCATCAATCATCTGATCATTGTGACCTTGAGGCTGCGTCGAGTCCCGGGGCTGGTGGGGGATGGGCTGGACCTGGATGATTTTCCAGAGGTCTCATTAGCTGAAAGCAAGAAGGAAGTGATCTGATTGGTCAAAATAATTGTATACACATACCTGCATGAGTTTGAAGACAGTGATGAAGAAGTATGTGGTGGAAGAAACAGATGGTTAAGTGTGCTAAGAAATTATTCATGTACTTCATTCTTACTTGAGTGCCCATTTTCTGCAATTTAAACCTGGTCCCTTGTGAAAAAATGCCCACAATTCTACTCAGAGAACACTGACAGATGTTCATTATTCCATGTAAACAGGGACAGCCGTTTATCAGTTTAACCAGTTTGTGAAAATATTATGAAACGATCTTGCTTTGTAGCCCTTGATGTAACTAACTGAACCTATTGCAATACTAATCTAAATCCCTTTAAACCAGGGATAGGCCATGTGAGTCTTCCAGTGATATCTCTTTGTGACTATCAACACTAAATAAGACTTTTACCTACCACAGATGCATTAAATCGCTTCACTAAAAAGCAGCAGAAATCAATTACCACACATGCTTTGCCCAATTGTGGGTGCTGACACTGCACCAAGAGCTGGCACACAGTCTGCTGTGCAAATTTCACCGCTAATTTATTTATATTTTGCTGAATATTTTGCACTGAAATATGAATTTACTGTTAATCAGATCTTTGCTTTTTTGTTACGTTTTTTTCCTTTGCTCCTCCATGGCATGTTACACAAAGCGCTATGAGTGGAAAAGTGCTTTTTGAGGACACGCTGTACTGCGAGATGACATATGGCAATAAGTTTTTTTGGCTAACAGCTCTTTAGAATCACTTTGTTGGTGCAAAAATGTTATTTAATTTCTTTTAAAGTGTCTGAGATTTTTCAGAGATTCGAGTAAAGAGGAAGGAACAAGTGATGTGTTTTGCGTTTGTGTTTTGTTGCAGCAAAGTGTCTAAAGATACATTATTTTTACTACGTAAGCTGTTACCATATGTGTAGAAAACACTGGCTGATTATATGAGTTGTTAAAAAAAAAAAAAAAAAAAGAATTTCGGTGCAAATTTTAATTTGAGTGAGAAAGCACTATGTGAATAAAGGGTTATAGTTCAGATGCCCAAGGCTGAGAAACAAGGACTTTTAGCAACACTTAGATGATAGAAGAACTGTGTATGTACTTTTTGTGACATCAACCTGACAAAAACTTCTTGTTATATCTTTCTACTGATAGTTATTAGCGGCGGTTTTCTTATTGCTTCATACCTGGACCAGGTGACTTTGTCCTGGGCGGACCTTTGGGTAGAGTCCTAGAGGAGGAGAAGCCGGAGCTGCTGGGGGTCTTGGTTGTTTTCTGAGGGGCAGATGAGCGAGAGACCTTGGTCCTGCACTCTGGAAAGAGAGAAAAGGGTCGTGTAAAACTGAGAGCTACACATTCTCTCAGTGGTTAACAGGATTGTGTTATGAGCAGGCTTTTGATGTTTTTCATATTTGTATTTGCACATGTAAACATGTAAACACAACTGAATAAACCCTCCCCCAATTTTGTGAGTCTTTGTTTTTCTTTTTACGATTCAAATAATTTGTTGTTTGCTAACAAAAAACAGAAAAACACTCTACAAACAATACAAAGATGGGTGTGCGTCTGTGTTACCATTCACAAAGGCCGGTGTTTTGCTGCTGTGTGTGAGCACAAAGTCGTCCTGAGCGTAGCGAAACTTCTCTGGACCGCAGGCCATAAACACATCGTCATCCCCGAAAAAATCCTGCAAACAGGTCAGCTGCACACACAAAGAGAAGCACACGCTGTGATTCATCAGATTTTAGGAAAAGCTGCAGCGGCATATGTGTGTTCAGAGTGTGTGTGTGTGTGTAGCAACACCAGACATGTGTGCATGTGTGTGTCTGTGAGAGAGCAACAGAGCAGATGACAGATGGGAAATTTTGAATCATGTTTACAGCTGGCAACGCTTCAATGGGCTCTGACACACACACACACACACACACACACACACACACACACACACACACACACACAGGCACAATGTGCTGTCTAAGGAACTGTTTTGAGGATTAAATAGAAATTGCACATCAAACTGTCCGAGATTCAGAGAGAGGGAGGAGCAAGAGAACAAAGAGTGGGAGAGGAAAAGATGCAGAAATGAAGGATGAACAAAGGTATAGGAACAGGTATAAAAGATGAGAGGTTTACAGTTAAGGCTCAGTCATCAAAGTGAAATTCATCCCTGTTTCCTCACACAAACGCTGAGACTGCTCACAGGGCTGGTTGGAATATGAATATGAAAAGATCCTCTCACATCCCAGTTTTTGACGCAAGTGATTGCTAGATTTTAATCAACCCACAGAGCCTCTCAGAGTGACTACAAACAAATTTGATTTTAGCTAATTAGCTCTTTAAGTTGTCCCAGTTTATTCATTAGTCACATTAAATCATTAAGTCCCGACTCGGCACTGTGAAGGATTCCTCTGTGGTATAGACAAGTTATTTTCCTCCCACAGTGGAGCTTCCTCCATTTCAGACTCTGGTCCGTGCTCTCAAAATGGCTCGCTATTGACCGACTGCACATATGATTGATTTAGTGAAAAAGGCAAATAGTCAAGTATTGAGAATTAGCTTATACTCATGGTCTCCGGTCATAGCTTCTAATGCTGGTGTGAAGAGGACAAAAATCTAAAACACAAAACCTTGGTGTTTCTTCAGGTTCAACAACGCAAGTGACCAATTACACTGTTGTGTGATGTGGAAGAAAACTGCACATCTCTACTCTCTTTGTGTTAGGCTGAGGTCAGGGACGGGGTTAGGGTTCTGGGGTCAGAGTTTCCACATCACAAAACTATGATATCACAACAGTGTCATTGGTCACTTGTAATGTTGAAGCTGGACCAATATTGATTATGATTACCATGAGACATCTACAAAAAGAGGATATCAGACGACGCCTGCAATTACCAGGTTACCCTAGCAGCCAGTTTCTGTATCATATCAAGTATGGTGGACCACTCTCGAGCACGTGTCACGCATTTCATTCATTCATTAGTATTCCATGTTACTTTTTCCACTCATGACTTATTTGTATTTATTCTTATCAGTCACCAGTGTACACTGACAATATCCAGATGAAATAACTTAATATGAGCCAAACCAATACATTAGACTAATTTCTTCACTGTTAAGCTGCTTTCCACACTCAGACAGCAACTGATACAAAGTCATTTCAATGCTGTACGGTTGCCATGGGGACCACACTCCCCCTAACGGTTCCGGAACTGGACTGAACATTCTGTGTGTGTCTGTAGCAAGGGGCTGTTCCTAGATAGCTGGTTGCTACGGTAACCACACTGCAATGTCAAAGTATGTGAATGTGTGTATGTGAAACGGGATTTCTGTCCCACTCTTTAAAGAGGCTGTACAAACTGAAGGAACAGGGCAAGGACGCGCGCGCGCACACACACACACACACACACACACACACACACACACACACACACACACACACACACACACACACACACACACACACACACACACACACACACACACTCGCCTTGTTCCTGTGAGACTGACTAAATGAAATGAAGCAGTCTGAGGCAGAAAGAGAATAAAAGCCCTCATTACAATTCATGCCTTTCAAAATAAAAACATTCATTTACACAAAACTATTATTTGTTTTTTTTTGTTTCTGTCTGTTGATGTTGAAGTCAGCTGCATTTATTTTCAGATATAAAATACAGTATAAATACAGCAGAAAACACCAGCATGTTACTCAAGAGGTTGAAGAATTGTGTAAATAAAAAGTTCCTGCTGCTACAAGTCAGGGTTGGGCATTTCCACTACCTTATATATTTTCTATTTTCTATTACTGACAAAAATCATCCTCATTATTTTATCCTCTTACAGACAGACGACCATTTACACTCACATCTATGAGCAATTTAAAATCACAAATTAACCTAACACCACTAACTGTCTGCCATTGGACTGTTGGAGGAAGCTATGAGAGAGCCCATGTGAATATGAGGTGAACATGTGAACTCGACAGTACCAACCAACGTGCTATGTTGGTGAAGAGTTGGAGGAGGTAGGTGGGGAGAGAGAAGTCCGAGTATGTATTCCTGTTTTGTGCCAGGGCACCAAAACAAATATGAATGATAAACAAAATACTCATTCCAAGTTTTTTTAGGGTTTCATCAAATTGGTAATGCTGATTGGTGAATCCTGTTTGTGGATAGGTTAATTTTCTCTTTAAGTCTTTTATAATCTTTTCGTACTATAACTTTTCAAGTGTGATATCAGATTAATTTTTTTTAGTTCTTCTTATGAACTTTTGAAAAGGGTCAATGTTCATATATAAACTTTGCCCGGGGGAATGCTTTTAAAGTAAAAACAATGAGACTGTTAAGGAGGCAGATGCAATGGATACTTTTATTTTGAAGGAAGCGTCTGCAGAATGTGTTTTTATTTTTCCCAAGGCAATGGTGCAGCTACATCTTAACAAACGGAGACAGTTTTGTGCCTTGTGTGTGTGAACTCAGTAGACTTATGTGTAAGTGTGTGTGTACAAGTCTGAGCTGCATTCACTACAACAAGCTTCTTTCAGTCACACCGGCGCCTCGACATGCTGTCTTTGCTTTTCTTCAGCTCTCTGTTATCAGCGTCACAGTTATCTGTAACTTCAAAGACAGAGCGCGTGCATGTGTGGGGTAAAAATAACCCTGCCGTGTGATGCGTTTAAATCCTTAACCCAATATGAGCTCACAAAAGCATTTTGAGGAGGATCAGCTCCTAGTCAGACTCTGTTCAAATTAACTTCAGCTGACTGCTGCAGTTCCAGGGCTTCAAACACATGTACTTATAAAGAGCAGAGAGTGCAGATTTAAACTTCAAGGAGACTACGCTAACCACCCGTACACTTTACACTGAAAATTGCACCTTAAATGAACTCTTTTATATATGATGAATCCCAAAATGAAACACATTCCTGGAGTAATTTTATAATGAAGTGCTGTAATTTGATTTCCGCAGTCAGCCCTCGTTCACTGGCCCTGTGTTGTCTGAGTGTGCGTCAGTTTAGAGCTCAGCGAAACGGCTGAAATTACTTTAACTGTGTGTCACAGTCAGGCTGTGAACATTACCCACAGTATGTCTAGTTCAACCCATTTGTTGCTGTCATTTTTTCTAATTAAACCGTAAATTGCTGCCAAAAAATAGAGAACTTCAGAAGAGAAGATATGACACTTAAAGAATGCTGAATAGAAATCAGTGGGAGAATTCTCCACTGCTAGAGACGACAGATGTCCTGCTCCTGAACTGGGAAATGCATGAGCCATGTGTTGTCACTCTAATGCAAGTTCATGGCAGTTCTAAGTAAAGATGATGGTAAGTGGCTTTCGGTATCTATAACCTGCATTAGCATATGATGAGTGCTTTAGTGGTAGGAAGCACAAATGTTGATGGATTCTAGCTTTAATAAGAGTTTTGTGATTGGTGGTTTCAGGATCTCATTCCTGCTTTTTGCAGATGATGCAGTTCTGTTGCCTTCAGCTCCCAAAGGGGAAGTTTTTAAGTGAGTGGGAACCGCAGATAAAAATCAGCACCTTAAAGTCTAAAGCCATGGTTCTCAGACAGAAAAGGGTGTGCCCAGAGGAGTGCCCACTCTGGGTGAAGAACAAGTTGTCGACCCAAGAGTTGGTGAATTCTGTGAGGTTGTCTGTTTATCAGACGATCTAAGCTCCTACATAGCCTAACGTGTAGCCATTAGGTCAGGGTGGATACCGCCAGTGGAAATAAGCTTTCTAGCAGCGTGTCTGGGCTCAGCCTTAGACACAGGGTGAAAAGTGTTTTCATGGAGGCAGCAGGCGACCGTATGCTGCAAGTCTGAAATGTAGCAGCCCGAGTTTGAGTCAGAATCCCATCCCTTTGATGTGTGTCTTCACTCTCTCTCCCTGTACTCCCGTCCCCCCAAAAAATCATCTTCAGCTTTATTCTTCTAATTTCCATGAATAACTGGCTCTTATAAGGAAAAAATACAGTGGGCTAAATGAGTATAAATAGATGTCACTTTTGGTACATACACAAGATGAATCTGAAACACCTGCATTGACTCCATCAGACTAACATCGAACTGTAGAAGCACTTAATAGCTTAATAATTGATGGCACAGGATGCAGGAGTGAACTTTTCAGTCTAGAGGCAGGTGTAAATCATTACTTTGTGTTTCACTCATTAAGGATTTCCTCCTGAGCTTCCTCTAGGTGTAAGTGGGACTGAAAAGAAGTGAGCAGGCTCTCTTTAGTTCATGGATTTCTAAGTACGAGTACTTTATATGTCTATGATTATGCAGGACAGATGTGTTCTCCACTGAAGCTGCTAAAAGTCTGAACATACTGTGTAAGCGTCCATGTTTGCTGCTTTATCAATCCATGAAGTAGCTTCATGTTGCAGCTTTTTCAATGTTTGTGTCAAAGAACAAAACAGGAACACCAAAAGTTATCAAACCTGTTTCCCGTCCAGCGTGTAGAGCTTCTTTACTGCTCCAGAGTCCAGCTTGATGGCCTCGGTGATGTCCGCCAGCACCTGTTCGAAGGAGTGCGCCGTCTTCTTGTTCAGGAGAATCCTCACTGCCTTTCGAGGCTTCACGCCGCTGCGGATCACCGTCACCAACTTGGGTTTGATGAAGTCTTTGCTCTCTCTGCCCTCTCGACTTTCGGGGCGATCTTTGGGGACGGTCGTCGACACTCCTGTGGATGCCGTGGAGGCTCCACTTGACCTTGCTGTTCCAGGCCCAGTGCTGGCACCGGGCTTCCAGCTTGGGACGGAGATCTTGGTGTAGTCGACCTTCCGGTAAGGCTCGTTGGAGGCACAAATGTAGCACTCGCCTGAGCAGCAAGGCAGGGTGTGAGGAGGAAAAGTTACATTAAAAACAAATACTGCAAAGGTTTTACAGGAGAAACTTTTGACTAAAATTTAACCAAAAACCATTAAAGCTCAATATCGTACACTGAAAAAAAAAGCATTAAATATCTCACATAGTTAACTTAAATATTAGGCTTTTATGAAATGTGTGTTCAAGGACACCAAATGCCACCAAAGACGGACGCTGTTTTAGCACATTAATTGCAATTTCTATTTCTATTTTGTTGTGTGTTTTAACCGGGGTTAATAAAGCTATTAACTGTATCTTAATTTTCTAATGTATTTTTTATTTTAATTGTACATCAGTTTGTGATTTTGTGCCAATTAAAAGCACTTTACAAATGACCTTTACTTACATACAAAGTGTAGCAGTGGGCAATGGGCCCTGAAGTACACTTTGCAATATCAACAGCAGCATGGAGAAAGGCAGGCACGATTAATCAGCTGCCATGACTGCAGTCCTTAGGCTTTGAATTCACCACATTTAAATTATATTAAAAAAAATCCTTCTGCTACATTTTGTTCACCCGGAACGCAGCCCTGTTCTTCATCCTGTGCCCACTTTTTTATATCTGCAGTTCATTTCCGTGTGTCTCAGAAGTATTTTGCTGCCTTCTGTCTTTTCCTTACTTGGATTTTTATTGCATGTTCTTGGCAGTTTTTTGCATAGTACTAATCCTTTCAAGTAAAAATTAAGTTATCGGTTCTTTAATAGACCATCATCACAAAGATTGTGACCATAACAAAGCAACAATATTCAAGCAACAACTTCGATAGAAACATTAAGCAAAGTGAACTGGCTCTAAAAGGCAGCCTTGAATACAGGAAGCTATGCTGTGTCATCTGTACCTGCTGGCTGTTGTCATGGACGCAGTTAAAAGGTGAAATAAGTGAGTGATGTACAGGAGGGCGTTCAGGGTCACAGGCTTATTCGAGAGCGCGGTAATACAAGCTTTGTGTGTGACAGTGGATGAAGAGAAGGTGACAGCAGATGTCAGATTCACTCCTCTCACTCTGTCTGATCTGCTGGAAAACTGAACAGCTCGTCACTCGTCAGAGCGTTCAAGCACCCAGGCAGGAAATATGGAAATGATGAGCATGCAGTGTTTCATATCGCAGCGCAGCTCCAATTAATCTGACTGAGTATGATAATAAAATGTAAAGTCAGACTGATAATCCAGTTTAGTTTCCACATAAGCTGTTATTCAAAAACAGCTTGTTTCACTTAGTGGTCATATTAGAATTAGTTATACTACCTTAACAGATGTACTAGCTATGAATAGAGCCTTATTTACATAAAGTGTTCCCTACAAAATAAAGACGTTACATTGCTATAGTTTGCAACCCAAATTAAGTAAAAAGACAGTTTAATCTATTTCTTGCAATTTTTTTGGCTGGTGGGAGGGGCTAAGAGTAGAGCTGCTATTACTACACATCAGACTGAGCTGGATGAGGTGGTGGCATCTCACTACAATGCCTCCGGGATGCTTCCTGGGAGTCTTACTGGCAGGAGGCTTCAGGGCAGACCCAGGACATGCCAGAGAGATTATGTCTCTCATCTCAGCTGGCCTGGGAATGCTGCAGTGTCTCTCCCAAGAAGAGCCGAAGGTGGTGGCTGGTCTCTGCTTACACTGCTGCCTCTGAAACCCAGTCAGTAACCAGCAGGAAATAAGCAGTGGAAACCTAAGAACGCCACCATTCAAACCCTTTTAATTCAAGGGGTTCTTTTTTTGTATTGTGGTTTTTTTTTTAAACTACAGCTTCAACATGCTGAGATCTCCAAAATCTGCCAGGAGTGGTTAGAAAATGATCATATTATTAGGGGCAAATTATGGCTAACCTATTATTTAAAGACACTTTTAAACACACTATAATTAAAAAGTTTCTTCTGCATCAATGATCTCATTGTCACATTAAAGGGGAAAAGAACCTGTTATCATTTGACATAGACCAAGGTTTCATTTTCAGATTATCAGTTGGGGGGGGGGGGGGGGGGGGGGGGGTTGTTAGGCTAACTGATCATTTTAAAATTGACCATGCGTTTGAATGCGAGTCTCTGTGTTAGCCCTGCAACAGCCCGATGCACCCCGCCTCGAACTTCTCACCCCATCCCACAACCCAGAACTGGATAAGCAGAAGAAAATGGACAGATATACATCCATGATGTGGCCATCACTTCACTGCTTGTGCTTATAGTGCCTCCAAAACACATCACACCCTTCATGTCCAGGACTGCATGACAACTCTGAAGGTGTCCTGTACAGCCTGGCACCAGGACATTAGTAGCAGATCGTTAAATTTGTGAGCTGGAGCCACCATAGATCATAGCTGCTGTTTTTGTTTTTAATGTTTTTCCTCATCAGCATCTGCATGAAAAGGAAATGCCTAAGATTCAAGAAACAAAAAATATTTGACATTTTGCTGATCAGAAACAACTAAACTATTAAAATAGATGTTCCCTTTGGCAATTTTAACTTTTATGGCACAGTTTTTGATGTATGTAAAGAAAGAAAAGGATGAACAATAAAGTTCTACCAATGATGACAAACAGTTTAATTCCTTTATTATCCTCTTACTTAGATTAGCGACTAATGTGCATGTGCCTAAATTTATTTGAGCTTTAAATCTGTCATCAGTTAAATCCATTGGGCTGTTTGTATAAAGAGTTTTTAAATATAAGATAAAATTATAAATTATACTAAGGCTCCAGCAGACTGCAGCTGATCACATGTACAACAGCCTCCAGCCACATATCCTGTTTTACCTTATATGGTTAAAAATGGCTCACCTAACACTCCCCTCTCTCTTCGTCTTTATCTCACTACCTTTCCAACGTGCACACCTTTCACTCTCTTTTAAAATCAGACACACGCTTATCTGTGCTAGCAAGCCTCTAGTAAAATGCCCCTTTTTTCCTCCCTTTGTTTCATCCCCATTACATGTTGACACACACACTCTTTCTCTGCAGGTATTGTGTGTGTGACCTTGTCTCTCCACATGCAGGCTTTCACTTTGCAATTCAAACCAGATGGACAGGATTGCTGCAGGTATTCATTCAAATACCTCAGTGACTAAACACAGAAGCACCGTCTGTGTGTCGATACGACATTAGAGCTGAGACACCGGCACAGTCTCTGTTCAGGAGCTGTTTAATGTAAAGACACGACAAACAGGAAATTTAATGAAGGGTACTTTTAATATTTCAGCTTTTAAGGTAAAGAAATTATCGCATTGATTAATTAACAAACATTTGCAGCTTATTTGTGGAGTTTGGGACAATTTTTTAAGCATTAGTTTCAAAATAAAAACTTTTCTGAACCTATTGTCTTTATTATTTTTATTGTGTCCATTAAATTCACTTGACTCAAGGTTTTTTTGTCTATAAAAAGCTACAGATTGCACCTTCGTGGCTTTTTATAGACAAAAAATAGACCTTCACCCAGGAGACTGAGGTTTGAGCCCCCTTTTCCCTATTATTTTTAGACTTTTTTAATTTGTTTCATTTTAATTAGGATTTAATAAAACAACGTGCTTTACAAAATCTTATAATTTAAAAGCAATGGAAAAGGATTCAAATAAGATTAAAATCAAGAAGGTTCAAACACTTAAAAATATTTTTGTGTGATTATATTGTTAAAAATAGGGAAAAATTTTAAAAGTTCAAAGAAACTTCCTAGTGATTCATTAATGATGAAGCAAACCAGACTTCCTCAAGCACTGAAATGGTTTAGTTGGGTTTTCTAAAACATGCTTTGGATTAAAAATAATAATAATTTTATTACAACCATAAAACATGATGTATATGAGCTGATTGTTATGGCTGCTGCCAAGCCTAGAAAAACCTGAAAGGTTATGATATTTGAAATCTCTGTCACAGTACTTTTGAAATGCTAAACCAATAATCTTGACATTCAGCAGGACACACTCAGATCAATCATCCCAGTGCATTAGCTGCTTTCCAGCACAGCTAATCAGATAATCCATGTTTCCCCCTCTGTTACAGCTCGAATACTCAGTTAAGTTGTGAGCGATGACTTTTCCACTTCACACTCGCAGCTTTGAGCCGCTGTGGTCTGTTTGTCGTTGTTAAGTGCTTAAGAGCGATGCATCTGTCTTTTAGTAGATCTCCGGCTGAACAGCTTCCTGGCACTAACGCTCATCAGAGGACATTAAACCAGTCACTCATCAATATTGATGATAAGTGATGTTACTCAGCCACTGGTCTGTTTCTCACTAAATGACTTTAGGGCAACAGGATGAGCAGAGTGAGTGGACCTCGGAGTTGCTGTTAAATTATCCAGGAATATTGTTCGTGCGTATAAATTTTAGATGTGGAAGACTTATGAGCATTTATGAGATACATGCTTCTTTATAATATAAAGTACACTTGAAGTTTACAAGAGGATATTGGAGACAGGATATAACACATAATGATGGGTCATTAGATGACTGTGCACTGAATATGTGAAGGCATTAGTGGAACTGCTCAGTTTGGTCTTCTAGATATTATCTTTATTACTGTAATTAAGTCACAATAATTTTGAGGGGTTAAAAAGTGCTTGAAAAATTCTGTCAAAAGTGGTAAAAACCTACACTATAGCATATCAATAACATAGCCCGCACGAAACCCAACAGGAAGTCCATTTTTACGGCATTTGCACTAAGCTGAAGTTTTTCCATTTCAAGGCATTATTCTTTAGAATAGTCATTTGTCAAACATTGGCAAAAAACTGCAATGTTAATCCCATTGAAGATTTTGAGCTAATTATTCACATAATATATGGGCAGTCCAATCTAAACATCTAGGTGATGCTAAATGACGAAGCTGGTGGGCTTTCCCTGAACGGTCTGTTGGCAACAGCAAAAAACAAACAAACAAAAAAACCCCACAACTGTAATTGTTGGATGTTCTGTAATGTCACACGTTGGGCAAAACAATTGATGGATGTATGTGTGCAACAGCCAGTTATCCATCCTAGGCTTAAAATATCCACAGGAAGCAGGTAGACCTATCAAAGGTGTGTGATCCCAATCATCACTGCCGGCAGTTTCAATTAACTGGATATCAGTTTAAAAGAGAAAGGAGTGTGACTAGATGGTGGGAAGGTATCATTTTCAATAAAATGTTAAAAAACACAATTTTCCTTTGGTTCAACTTTAATGAGCTATGCGTTTACTGGTGGGTTCAGTTATCCCACATACATACAGTGTCACCATGGACAAAATCTATGGTAGAGATGATGGGATACGTCCCTAAGATACCTAAGTACCTTAAATTGCTCCCACCAAAATTTAACCAACACATATGCACTTATTTATTAATCACAAGCTTTACTTGGAGTCTCCAGCTTAAAATCTTCAATAGGATTAACACTGCTGTAAATCTGCATGTGCATAAAAACTACACAGGGACAACTTCACCAAATTACAGGATATATAGTGTCAGGGGTCGATTCAGTAGTGGACAACATGATACTTTTTATACAGAAACAGCTGTACACCTCAGACAGGTCCTGGGTTATTTCCCCAATGAATATTAAAACCGATATACCCTTGAGTATTACTGTATTGATTATGTACTTATCAGTCTGCTGTTGATGTACACAGAAATAAATAATTCAAGCATGTTTGGATAACAAAAGCCAAGAGGGAGCCGAGAGGAAGGAAACATGAGGAAGTTTAAACAAGACAGGCCACTTGATTGATCTGTGGTGAGAGTAATCAACTGAAGTCTGCACAAAATTATGACTCAGTGACAAATGACTACTGTATATTTATTTTAAGGATATGCAACATTTGCAGACAAAACAAAGATTCAATAGTCAGCAAGACCACTGCTAATATAAAGCACCTGACATCAAAAATCTGACAAAGGGAACAAATGTGTAGGTGGTCAACTAGGAATGGAAATGGCTGTAGACCAATTTTGACTAATTTTATGATGACAAATGATCCAGGAGATCAGATGCTTTCGACAAAGACATTATTGATGAGTACTGGCAGAGTAAATAGGGATCAAATTAAAGAATGCCCTAACCACAATCCAGATAATAGTCTTAAAATATTTGTACTAACCACAGTAAGTGTGCACCCATAGCCTACTAAAGCATGACATTTTCTACCTCAGCTGGGCATTTTTGCTCATTGCCTAAAGGTTTGTGATTGACAAGTTGTTAGAAAATGAAAACCAAGCTGCCAGTCTTACCTTCCACCAGCTCATCCATACTGGTGATCTTCTTGCTGCCATCTATAGTGTAGATCACCCGCACTCCTTGAGGCAGATGCAGGTTATCCGCCAACGAGCGTGTGAGCTCCATTAGCAGAGCGTCGTACGATCTGAACCGGTCACTAGAAACAGCGTACACCAGGCCCTTAAAGTACCGGTCTCCGTTGCGATAAAACCGGACTTTTTTGGCTCGTTTCTCCGAGGTGAGCGCCTGCAGGGTGCGGGTCCGGTAGTAGCTGCAGTTGGCGCTGTGAGCAGGACTAGGGACCAGGCTGCTGCCCCTGGAGCTCGGGCCAGACCCTCCACCACCAGCACTGCTGGTGGAATCATCTCTCTTGGCCCGGGTGGAGCGTCCTCGCCGAACCTTGTCACGTTCGTCAAAATGCTCCAACTCGAGGGTCTTACTCAGAGACATGGCGGATAACAGTCCAGTAACATTCAAGGAAATCCGTGCTAGAAAAGAATCATCCTTCAAACAGCAGGAAAAAGTTTATCCAAGCTATGTAGTCCAGATCTTGCTCACGTATAGATAATGTGATAAGTAATCCCTAAAAAATGTGTTATAACTTGGAGACTTCCTTCCAGTAGATAGATTCTCATAGACCAGCTGTAGTCCTAAGACTTCTAAGATGATCTGTAGTCCAGTTGGCCTGAACGAAGAACCGGCACTGTGGCAATCACACCAGTCATGGTTCATTTAAATCAACTGAAATCTTCATAATCCAGGTGAAATCTCCAAAATGACATCAGGTCACTTTGATGTAAATCCAGCTTAAGTCAGAACTCAAAAATATCCTTTATCCAATTTAAAAATCCTTAAAAATCATGTATTATGTTCATGCTCTAATCCGTGATGTCCACTGGTCAATAAGTTTGGGGTTGTAACTGTAAGGTTTTTGTTTCACCTTATTTTTAGCAAATTCAATGTGAATGTGAAGGAAGTCTGATCCTTGAATTACAGATTTTTCCCACCAAGGCTAAACCTCCACTTGATTATCTGTCTGTCCTCACAGTCACCTACCTGCAGTGTCAGGAACGCAGCTGTAACGTCAGTGATCTGGCTTTGAACTCAGTACTTTGAATGAACAGACCTAGACAACCCATTCAATCGACTCCAGGTTTAGATCTGGGCCAGTGCCTCGAAGTCCCTCTAATCCTGCTTGATTTGGGATTTATGTCTCATTCACAATTTCTCTTCTAGTGTCCTCACCATCCCTCCGTCACTGGGGAAAAAAAGAAGAAATGACAATCACATGGTTTTACTGACAAGACAGAAGTCACCATCATCTCGAGAACAGCCTCCAACTCTATACCAGTGCAGACATAGAGCAGGAATTCATTTTTAAAAAGGTCATTTTGTATAAAACCATGTAATTAAGAGTCGGTATTGCTTGCACATAGTTTGCTTTTATTTAATTATTCAATATTTTATAAACAAAAATAATTTTTAATTTTGATTAAATTAAACCAGTGTTAAAAAAAAACTTTAAAAGTTAGATTTTACAACATTTTTAAATTATTTAGAAAGCACCAAAAACCATGTGAGGAAACAGCTATGACTTTTCCTGTCATGTCTGATACTGAAATTTTTTAGGGCTGAGCTGTCATCTCACAGAGTACCGCGTCAAACCACCCCCAAAAATCCAGTGGGCATCCAAACTGCCCTGAGTCAAACATGACACCTAAAAGCATCATGCAAGTTAACATTTGCACAGTTTTGTCACTCTCTCTTCGCTGACTTGCTTTGGTAGTTAGAAGAGCTCAGAGAGTTTTTAAACAAAAAACATAGAAATATTAGATTAATGAGAGGTCGTCCTTCAACAAACCAATATAAGATTAAATACATAGTAGAACAGAACTCTGGGAAAACACTGGCTCATCTTGGACTCATTCCTGGTTCACATATGTCAGGATGCACAGGGCAGATGCGGAGGGCAGGAAGTCAGACACAGGAGACATTTTAAAAACAAAAGACCTGAAGCTTTTTAAGGCATGAACACTAAATGCTCCACCCCTGAAACACCTGTAATGTCAATCTGTGAAAAAGATAGAACCAAGACTTGATATCGAGGGAAAAAAAGTTGACTAAACCTTTTTTTCCCTCGATATCAAGTCTTGGATGGAATATTGTGGCAACATCTGAGACTCACAGCCTGTTGGGCTTCATTCGATCACAACCATTTAAATTAGCTATCAATCCCAAACCATATTTAAAATGAATACATGTGTTTGTTTTCTTCATGCAATAATAAAATAAATATTCCTTGTCCTGAAAGAGTCACTGGTCCACAACAGTACCTGAAAACGTCAGCATCTGTCGGTCTACAGTGCAGTTTTTGCCATTGTGCCACAAACACTGTTGACTGGGGTAATTCCAGCACTGTGTCCACTATGTTTGCAGGGTCTGTCAGAGGCACGCACCCGTGAAATTTCCAACTGCCCATAAACTTTCTGGCAAAAATGCTGCCACCTTGTGGTGATGGTCTTTATTGCATTTTGCAGTGCGTTTACAAAAAGTACCTTTAAGGAGCTGGCCCGAGCAGAATGGGCTTCTATTGAAGATCATTAAGACCCCGCCCCCCACGATAAATTGCACATGCACATCAGGACTGATAGGCATCATACAGTCAATGTGTTCAAATGTGTGACATAAATTTGGCTGCACAGCCACTGTGGGAGAATTGCATCGATTTCCAGTGTTATTAGATTTAGCTTAAGCCCAATGAGAAATAAAACCCTGCAGATGAAATGCTTATAAAACCCGTGCTCTCTCTCTCTCTCTATCTGATAACAGAATTGACTTTATCCATCTATCCGCCCTAACACTGCTAAGCTGGCTGACAGCGTCATTCAAACACACACACGTACACTGAAAGGGAGGCACCTACCAATAATGCTGTGGAACCGGTTTGTTGCTATGGAGCGTTTCTCCTCTTTCCCCTCCTCGGTGCTCTGGTTACGGTCTGCTCCGGGGGCTCCCGGCGGGCTGAACCACTCTAACCGAGCTGTTCCGGGTCCGTCCGCTGACCTGGGATACAGGGATGCAGGAGGAAGGCTACACCGGTGGACCGGGATGCACCGAGTCAGGCAGCATGGCCGCTGCTGCAGACAGACACCGGCTGAGGCTCACCCCCGCCCTTCCCTTCTCTCCGCGGCTGTACGTGATGACAGCGTCCCTCCTCCTCCTCTCTGTCTGTCTTTGTCCATCTCGCTCTACCGTGTCTCTCCTCCCTGCCTTTTGTCTGACTCTCCCTCAAATTAAACTTACTTTTCTGTCGTTATTGTTTTATGACAAGGGGTGTCAAACATACGGCCCAGTGCCATGCGGTGGGCCCCCATAGGGTCCAGTTCGGGCCACCGCATGGCACTGGTAATTGCGCGAGTTGTCATTAAAAATATTGCTCTTTATATACAAGATTCAAGGTTTACATTTTATTTATTTATTTATTTATTTATTTTACAAAAATTTTACATGGATAGATTCAAGGATTAAAAAAATCTACAAAAATCTACATGGATACTGGATCATTTAGTGTACGATTTATAATTATTTGGTGCATGAACTAAGAAAACCATTCATTTAATTGTCTTTAGGAAATTCTAAAATGATGTAAATTGTGTCTAATTGTTATATATATTTTTTAAATTATATTTTACACGTTTAACACAGAATAGCTGCAAACTAGAAAGGGAACCACGAGTACATGTCTGTGCAAATCACTCGAAAGTTCTTTATTTTCATAGTGAAAAAAACATGTAGCAGCTTAAAAGCTTAAAAATAGCCACTAAAAATCCCAATTTGAATTTCACTGAAGTCAATCTAAAGATCGAGGGTACTGGCAAAAAGCAGTGTTGGCAAAGAAGCATGATTTCTTTATTTATTTCGAAATGTAGTAAATATGAAAAACGTTACTATTCTTAGACAAATCTAAGATTTCTTTTTTCTGAAAAACGTCTGTAAAAGTGAATGAAAACTTTCACCACAAGGTGGTAGCATTTTAACAGAAAGTACCAGCCACTTAGCAAAGGATTGCTTACAAAAGGCTGTGAGACCCATATGACGTCTATTAAAGTCCGACTTTTCTCTGAGGCTGAAAGCCTGCTCTACTGGATTATGTAACAGAATAATCCCAAGACACTGATTTTTAAAGCACATGTTTCCCATTTGTAAAGACAAAGACTTCTTACGTTTGCATATATTGTGAGGGAAAACAATATTTACTTTAAAGTGTGCACAGTGCTGCACCGAGCAAACAAAAAATGGGACTATATTGTATGTGCAGGGCATCACTGGACATCGTGTCACTTCAGCCACAGATCCGTGCAGCATAACAGGCTCACAGCTACAAATCAATGCTAATATATTTGATAGCATGCAGACAATAGAAACATTATCTGTCTAGCTTGCTCATAAAAACATACACAACCATTTCTACTTACTACTCTGCCTTAATTTCCTTAAGAGGCCCTGAAAAGGACTGAAGCAGCTGAGAAAAACGTTTTTTTTTATCACAACATTAATGATGTTCCATAGTTAGTTACATAGAGATCAGATTTTTTAATAGCAGAGGGAACTTAGGTTTTTCATTTAAACAGATTTAGTTACGTTTAAATACACAGATGTAGATGATAATGTAGACCAAGAGGAAAACTATAGATGTTCTTCTTTCTGTATTTGTGTTTTTCTTTCACTTCCTGTACTACTCCATACACAGTACAGCTTACTGTCCTTTTAATGGAGTTTTATAACTCATGTTTGCAACATGAGTCTCAATAATAACTAAATATATAACTCACAAAAAGGTCTGCAACACTTAATTGCAAAGTGATTATTGTAAGAACCACGGCTTATAAATAAGTAATAGTGAATGATTATAATGGTAGAAGTAATAAATAATTCTGCTCAATCTTAATATTTGATGAAGCTGTGGTGGACACAGCTGTGGGAGTCAGTGAAGCAGGCTGGAGCTATAAAACCATTAAGAAAGCCTGAAACTAACTCACCAGGCACGCATTAGGAGGAATAATTAAGAACAGATGGCATCAACAAAAACATGAAGGCAGCATTAAATAAGAATAAAGACCCACACATGAACCCAAAAACTGAAATTTAACAAACTGAGGTTTTGAGTAAACAACAGACCCGTTAGAATGATGGAGCAAAATTTAATCCAGTCAAAGAAGTAGAAATAAAATGAAATATTAACTAAGGATCAACATTAGTTAACACCAGTAAAATTAATAAAACTCTCCAACAACAATAAATGAAATAAATAGAAATGACATGAAATGCAAATTAAGACCAGGAACAACAACTGAAAAGGTTAAACTGTGCTTTTAAAATGAAATATTATTAGCTAATATTGGAAAACGCCTAACATGAGTCAGTAGGTTATTCCAGCAACTTGTAGCATAAACAGGCAAAAACATGTTGATCAGTGTGGGATCAGAAGACCTGTTCCTGAAAGGTTGAGCTGGTTTCATAGTTCTGAGAGATATCTAAATCCAGTACTTTGCAGGACCTTAACAAAAATAAAAACTTATAAACGAACCCTAAATGTACCTGTGTTGCCCTCGGCTCAGGTGTTATAGGGTCCCGTTTAATTGTTTCAAACTAAGACACAGGTCCTGAAAATGTCCTTTTTACTTCAAGCAGAGAACATCATAAATTAGCCAAGACATCATACAGTACTGCCCCATGTTAAGTTATTTGTACTTTGTTTATGTGGACCAATAAGAAACAATGATTTTGGATGACCGTAAAACTATGTCAGTTTTTTTTTAATGATTACTTAAAGATATGTGTTGATGTAATATTTTTAAATTGCCCAACTTCATTTTCTGTTTTGGTCTGAAAAGTTCAGTTTGACTGTAGTTTTCTGTTGTGTTTATAGGACATGAATTTCCAATCTAGTGTCCACTTTAGGCAAACTATAAGTTTGAAGATATGAGGGAAACTCAGAATTTAACGTGTTCCTAAATAC